GTTAGTTTTCAGACAAATGAGAAAGCTGGCCTGACTTACCAGATGCTCCTTAGTGTCAACAGAAAGGGAAGAGAGTAGGCTGAAAGGAAACTACCTCCAAAGGTGGTGATGAAAGGGGCATAGTTACACATGGTCGTAGACGCCGGAGTTCCTTGCTGATCTCATTTAAAGCACACCCTCGCAAATAACTGACAAGTGTGGCGGGGAGGTGCAAGTGAGCAGTAGGAAAAGGATGGGAATTCTTAGGCCAACTATTCCACTGAAGAAAAAAAAAAAAAAAATTTAAAAAAAGTACAGTGTAGGTAATCCTACTGAAGTCAACAACACACTCCAGCTGGACTGCTCCTAGTGCCCAGAGTCAGGCATGTGTATGAATTTTTGCTAGTTCAAAGCTTAAGTTAATGGCAGCTCTGCCTGCTCAGCACCCCAAGATTCAGTTCCTTTATAAATTGATTTGAATGTACAAAAGTAAGCCATGATTTAAAAGGCAGGCTGGGGACCACGTTCCAGCCTTCATCAGTGTGTTTTCAGTGCTCGTGACTGTAATAGCTGAAGAAATCGGAACACAAGTTGCTAAAAATCTTGTGGCTTCCTTGTAAAGCCGACAACTCTAGAGGCAGAAAACTGAGGCACATCATAATTTGCTGGAGATCACAAAATCTCCTCGCTGTAGAGACAGTAACAGAAAATGCTCTGTATTTGATGTGATCCAGTAAGAAAATTATTGTTTCAGGGCTTTAGGTAGGCTTTGCAAATGGCTTTTAACATGTCGGTCTTCACAGAACTATATGCCAAAAACCAGATCAGGGCAACCACTCCTCTCGCAGATGCTAAACTTTAAAGCCCGTGCAAAGTCATAGCACTGCTTAACAATCCAGCTTTGAGAACTTTTTTTCCAAGAGACAAATACTGTGCTTTTTCACAACTGCTTTCCTAGAAACTACTGAACTATTTTTGCTAACATTCTTCCTCTGTAAGGATAATAAAAAGCCCTGCATTCAGGAATTTAATTGAGAAGTATTAAACAACCCAAATTTTACCTGTATCTCATTATCAGCTCTCTTTATGATGGTAGACAGCCTGTACAAAGTGAAAAAGTACTAATTAAAAAAAAAAATTAATCACATTCGTGTAAGCAGTGAATGACTAACACGGTTGTTTCTGTGGTATTGAGGAAAAGAATGCCTAGTTTTAAATTTTCATTCTCAAACCTCTGAGAACAAAAAAGGTGTTCTGCATGATTTCCTCAAGCTCGATCTTGCTCGGCTTCTTGGCAGACACTGTTGGTTTTTAGGTACATTTTTTTCCTGCTGTTAGCCGTGCTGCAGGGCATCAATTCCGAGGTCATTATCAAAGGGTTTCTTTGGCAAGCTGTCTCCTCCTGCCTCCACAAAGCCAAGGGCTAGTCGGGTCCCACCGAAATCCACAAAAGTCCCATGCCAGAGCCGCAGTTAGACAATACGTTGGTTTTACAGACTCGAGTGGACCTGTGCCAGTTTACCTTATCTGATGATCTGGCTCCATGAGAACAAGTCCCTAATGACTCACGTCCACCTCATACCTGGTGTGCACGGGAAGAAGTTGTTTTTCAAGCTGGGTCCCACAAATTCCAGCAAATAATGTCTTGTTTCTCACAGAGCTTATTTCTTCTAGGAGGCGCTGAATAAAGTATGTATTCAACAGAGATGTTTGCGTGAAACAAATGCCGTGGTGGGATGTGGTGGCGGGGTGAGTCAGAGCGTTCAGTCCCAGGCACTCACCGTAGGCTCTTCTACGGGACAGCGCTCGGCAGCACTTGCTGGGGAGAAAGCAGGTTCAGAATCACATTGAAAATTAAGCAGAAACAAAAACCTCATTTTCAAAACCAAATAGATTTACATACAGTTATTTTAGTACAAATAACTAGCATGAAAAAATGATAATTTGGTATCAAAATCAGAAAAAAGGGCTCTTTTCACCGAAGTGCTTTCATTCAGATGAATATTTTATTTTGCTTTGTACATGCAAACGAGCATCTTGGACGGCTAATATAACACTTAAACCTTAACATAAAATTTGAAAAACCTCTGAAAAACCAACTTTGAAATCCATTGTCGCTAACTACTATTGGCTAGTAAATACACGGGTGTTAACAAAGTGTCTACGTACAAACTAATAGAAGAATGTAAATTCTAAACTAGATTACTGACAATAAAATGGATGTAACTTTTTAGCTTTGCAAAGCACTTGTGTGAATGCAAACACTGTGAACAATAACAAAGTGGAACAGGTACCTAAGAAATAGTAGAATAAAACTCTAGAGCATCATTAAGTAGCATAACTGAGGGAAATTATTTTACAGTATGGTTTTCAAAAATAGGTCTCCATTAATAAATTATCATCCCATTGTGTCTGCCCTCAGAGTTGATTTTGTCTTCCAAAATGTATTTAATAGACACACACAAAGCTGTGGCAATTTAGAACCTGCAGGTCTTACCCTTGCCCTGCAACTGTGGCTCCACGGCCCAAGTACAAATCTATAATGCCGTGTTTAAATCTGTCACGTGAAGCCCTGAACAGCCCTTCTGTAAATTAACCTTGGTACCTGCGATGCAGCTTGCACTGAAGGCAGCAACCTCCCAATGAGGCAGGCATGGGGATCTGCCCAAAGGAGTAAATTGTTGGATATTGGATTAGAAGCTTCTGGTAAGCTATTGTAAAATATCTGGAAAAGACTCCTCCATATTCTGGTTGACTAATACTTTCCATCATAAAGGACTTTTTCTTTGGGAAGCATTAACACCTCTGTTGTTTGTTGCAGGCCTTTGATATTTAGCAGGGGAAATCCCAGAGGCTACAGTGGTACCTATGCATTGCCCAGAGAAACGCGAGTCAGTTTTCTCCCATATTGTAAAGAATTAAAAACGCTGGGTCTCTGATTCATGCACAAAGGCAGATTAAAATCAGGCTGCCACCCACATCTGTCTGGCCTGCCCCCACTGCAGAGATGGCTCAACTGCTCCTGAAACATCAGCTGAATTGCCACAAATTACAGCCTGGCATATTTAATAATACTAAAACCTGAGCGCAAAGATCTCAGCTGCCTGCAAAACAGGAACTTTCAAGGCAGTAACAAGGTGGACAGCTATGGAAGGAGATGTTTTACAGCCGTCACTTTTAATCTGCCTATATTTGTGACAGGGGTCTTAAATTCCTTTCCTCTCTCTGGCAAAGATTGTTAAAGATCATAGACAACCTGGGTGAGGTTGCTGGGCTGAAGCAGCAGTGAGCACTGCTGTCCGAGCACAGGTACGCACGCAGGGGCATGACTTGGGGCTCCCTCCAGCAAGCCCCGCTCCCATTCCCCAGGCAACTGTTGCAGAACAGCACAGACCCTTCAGTTGGCTGGCTCACCCCACACCCTTTGCAATGGCAAATGTAGGAACCAGAAGGAACAGTTCCTGTAAGGGCATTACAGGACCTCCTCACCCACTCCTACCGGCCTTCCTGAGGGCCCTGGGCAGAGCACTGTGCTCTTCCAGCTGTGGGGATGAGTGGGAACGAGTCCCTCCTTCCCCTCGCCCCACACGCAGGCCTGGCATGGCCTCATGGTCCTCACCTGCAACAGCGGCGGGCAGGTAGATGATGAGGGGCCAGTTCAGGGGAGAGTTTTCTACAGAAGATGGACAGTGTAAATCCTCCCAAACAGAAGCGCCCCAGAATCCTTGGGGTTACATGGCAAGCTCACTTCAATTTCAGACGGCCTGTTTTTGTTCAAACTATTCCCAGTCTGTCTGATAGTCCATCCCCGTTGGCCGGGGACACACCTGTGTGCAGGCTGACTGCTGGTCCTGGGCTCTCGGCGTCACTTTGTCTACATAAAGGAATGAACGTTCAGTAAGGGGTGGTGTTGCAATACTGCTCTGTGTATGCACTGCGGAAAGTTGCTTTCGAAGTGGCACAGCAAGCCCTCCTCAAAGAGTACCTCTGGGTCCTCAAGGGACGCTGGCTTGTAGTAGTTAATACAGGGTAAGTTAGTCTTCTAGCTGACTGAATACTACCTCCTCCTGTGTATAAGTCTTACGTATTTTAGTTGGAGGGCTCATTCGGTTCTTGTTTTAAAACGTTTCAAACATTGTAATTCATTTTCACCATGATCAAAGACACCTGTATCTTTGTCTATGCCCTTTATACAAGAATCAAGTAAATGTCTTTGCCAAGCACTTTTCCTAACAGGTCAGAATAACTATGGCTATGTGGAATTATTTATGAAAATATAGTTCGGTACATTTAGCTATGCTGCCAATATCATTCATTTACTTTCTTGTCATTGAATCTGCAGCACCCAACAAATAACTATAAAATTTCCATTATACCAGATGGTATATAAATCCTAAAGTCAGCTCAGTGAACATCTTTAACTGTTTTTTTAGACATAACCCTATTTTTTAATTTAAATGTCTTCATTTAACAATACATTGTAGCTTAAAAGTTCATTATAATAGTAAAGTCTCTCTAATAACTCTTGAAAGAATTTTGAAGTCACTACGTAAAGCTAAGAAACCTGCCAAAAATTGTGAATCTTTTATATACATCTCACAAGCTGTTATCTGATTTCTAAGAAATAACATAGCGGGCTAATAAAAAATGGAATGTTTTACCTACCAATTCTAACTGTTTGTCTCACGCGTTGGCTTAACACTTTCTTCATGGGCTATATTTTTTTAATAAATAAGTAAACACACACACACAAATATATGCTATATGAATATACAGAACTTAAAAGTTTCTTGTCCAAAAGGCTATAAAGGAAAGTATATATGCATAATATTATGTGTATCTTGCATATATTCTCTAAGCACATTAGAATAATTTAACATGAAAGCTGAGAAAACACAGTATTATATACAAGATTTGACAAGGATAAAAGTGAAGACTTTAAAACAGAATTTGTTTTAAAAAAATAAACCTCTCTGAAGAGTATACTTTTCACAGTAAAAATCCACAAAAAGGCTGTTTTTCTAGAAAGCTGTCTGAATCCCGAAGCCTAGTTCCATTTCTACTAGTTTTTCCTTCACATTCATTGGTATTGCTTCAACTTGAGTGGGAGCACAAAAGTTTTCAAACAGCTGTACAGCTGTTTGAAGTTCAGAATACACAGGCTCTGGCACAGAAGTCTCTGTTTCTACCACAACATTTTCTCCAGTAGCTTGTGACCATGGCTGAAGTGGTGAGAAAAGTACTCCTACTGTTGAAGTGTCTCTTTCGCAAGAGTCCCCTCCTTCTCTTCCAAAACTATTTTGACTTGGTGAAGACTTATTTGTTACCACCTGACCTAAACCCGTGACAGCATTATATACTGTTACATTCAAACTCATATGACCCTCATCATCTTCTTTATATCTAAGGGAATAAAATTGAAAATACTGAAAATACATAGCATTTACAGCAGGAAATAACAACATCATCTAATAGGGTTGCCAAAACTGAGAATGTCAACAATTAAAAGACTAATTAGATTGGTATTTATTAGGTGGCACTCAGACAAAACACATTCTATGTGAAGGAACACCTGCAAGAGGGTTCCAATAAGTGTATAGTAATAAGTATATATTTATCAAACATATATATCATATATATATATCATATATATAAAAAGTATATATTTATCAAATATGTATCACATAACAGAAAATAAGAGTATCTAATAATAATTATATTTTATTTGCTGGATTTTCTTGTCGCAAAATGAAGAGTATGACTTGTTTATACTACAGAAGCTGTTGATATATTTATGTACTCTCTTTGGTGGATACAACTTGCAGGGTCAAAAATTTTCTTTCAACAATCTAGGTTACAAGATTTTCACAATGGTAAAAATCTATAAAAGCAAAAAGACCTTTTTATTTCCTTGGTTTAACCATCTTTACACTAAGTTTTCCACCATGACAGTGAAACCTAAGTAGTAAATTGTTTCATGCTCAGAATGGTTAAAACATAACCAAACTTAAGATAGTGTTTAATTAAATATCTGGATCTCTTAAACAAAATGTTAAAAAAAATACCCAAGCAACTTTATGATCTGAACAAGAATTAACTGGTAACATACCTGAAACGAGAGTGACTACTGAGTTTATGAGCTTTTCGAAGATGTAGGGTCAATGTGTAACTCCAGGAGAAACATTTCTGACAGATGTGGCATTTATATTTCAAAATGCCATTACTCTTGGAAAGAAAGACAGAGTCCTTGAAGGCTTGCATGTATATATGACAAAAATCAGTCCTTTGTTGAAAAGGGGAAAACTACACTAACTAGCTGAAAACCTTTGTGAACTTAACCTCCTAGAACATTTAAAAATTGTGGGTTTTAGAACTTGTCTGATTAAGGAACCCCAGTGAACACTGAAATTCTCTGCACTGGCCATTGCTACTGCCGATATCTGCAATAGCAATGTGACACACAGCGTCCACTAAAATATATTCATTTTATGACACAGCAGTGGTCATAACTCAGAAAGTTGAAGAAACAGACAACCAGATTGCATAAACCATAGCAGTCAAAACTGTATTTTAATGTTGTGGCCAGACTCACCCAATTAAAAGTGATGTAAGCTTTAAACACTTCATAGTTTCTCTATTTTCAGGTAACATATTAGTTCTAAGGATGGAGTGCCAACATGAGGAGAAAGGTGACATTGGATTTCAATCCCTGAAATACTTTGCTGTTGAGATTAGGATTGGTATGGGTTTTTTTGGTTTGTTTTTTAAAAAAAGGGGGTGGGTGGGGTTGGCCAGAGTTCAAGACAGTGAATATACAACTGCATGCACCTACAGTAAGCACTCAAAATCTATAGGTAAGGATGAATCAGGTATTTGCATAATACTTGCAAGAGTCCTAGAAATGCGTGCAAATAAATACTTCATTTGATGCAACAATGAAACATTTCATTAATTCACAAGAAACTAAATGCACATAGATTTGAAACTTTAGTCTCATTTATAGCAATATATTTTATTCTGCTATTTAATATACTCACTACATGTGCTCTCTTGTGATGTTGTCTCAAAGTTCGTGAAGTCCGTGAAATAAAACCACATCCTTCAACATCACAGCTGTAGGCATCTGAATCATTGTGTGTTTCAACATGTTTACGCAGATCATACACGTTCTTAAAACTGAAAACAAGGTAAAACAAATCATAGATATAATAGTACAGAGGAGTAGTCTTGTGGTTAATGTTTAGGACTGGGAGGTAGTAATTTTTGGCTCTGACAATGACAAGTGAAAGCGGAATATGTGTAAATTGCTTCTCTACCTCAGTTTTTCCACCTGTGAAGAGGGAATAGTACAGACATCTCTTTGATGTGCCCTGGATTTCATTTTCCATTCCCTCTTTCTTCCCACACATCCACACCATGCCCAAATCTAGGTAATTTTTCCACAACCATGTTGCAAGGCATCACCCTTTCTTTCTATTCACGTAGAGAAAATTCTTGTCCATTATCAATCAGCCACTTCATCCTCTCTGGTCTAGAAATTCAAATTATTTCCTTCTGTCCACCCACAGTGTGAACACAAAGGTACTTAAATACTTGTTCGCTTTATCCCATTTCCAGAATACAATGGCTAGACCTCTCATTTTCTCTGGCAAAGTTAAACATAATTTGCCAATGCTTATATATGCAACTTGGTCTATCACATCACAATGACACTTTTTTTTTTTTTTTTAATTTCACTACGATGTGGCATCATATGGTGAAAGCAGAAAAGAAACCACCGCAGGAAAATGAGAGCACGAGACAGCAGAAGGTACAGTAAGCCTGTGGCAGAAAATTCACTCAAAGGAGAAGACTGTGACTCTCCCAGCAAACAGCCAGCAATCATTTAGAATGGCAAAACCCACAGTTTAAGGCACTGCTGCTACACATCTCATCTTGCCGTGATGTCCATTTTGTAGTACACGTAGCCTGGCCAAGAAGATTCACCTTTTAACACAGCAGATCTACTTGCACTAGAAGTTCATGAACTACAATGTCTCAGCAGCTGAAGGCAGGTGAATGGCAGCTGAATCTATTAGATTTCTTTATTGAACAGTTGATTATATTAGTGGTTGAAAACTTTTCTTTACTAACTAACTACAAGCCTCAAATTTTCTCACCTGCGGTCACAGAGGTGGCAACAGAAAGGACGTTCATTACAGTGTCGAAATCTGATGTGTGCTTTCAGTGAAGACACGCTTGTGCATACCATATCACAAAGGGCACATGTAACATGATTAACTAGAAAAGATAGTAGAAAGAAAGATACTTTCAGTTCTGTATCATAGCTTCAGTAGGACTTTGTCTGCTATGACATATGACCAAAAAATGTACTAAAATATCATATTCAAATTAGCAGACTATAATACATTATATAAAATATACAGAGAAAAAATGAGATAAAATGGAACACAGGTGCAATAAAAAGCGTAGTGAAATAATGGTCAATTTTACAATGTTTCAAGTTACTTTCAAAAAATAGATGGTAAGAGAAAAAGATGTAGAGCATCATGTTTCACTCTCTAGGCTCTAACAAAAAAGGACAATAATAATTTTGCCCTTGGCACTTTGGGAGGATTTCTAAAAGGTGGATGTTGTCTGGAGGCCTTCTGACAAACAAGCACTGGCAAATCTACTTTTAGTGTTTAAGGTGTTACCACTCTTAAAAAGGCAGCAGAGAGAACATGTGTCTGTCCTCCGCCTCCCCATTTCACACTCGGATATATGTGCTTAAGGCATAATAATGCTAGGCGCTTGCTAAGCTGCCAGACTACCAACGGCAGTGGCTGAGATGCAGGTTTGCTCTGACGACTCTGAAACTGGAGAGAACCTCTGGCAGGTTGGCAGGCAGGACTATAACATCTTACGCTGAACAAATGCTTGCTTTGCTGCATATGAATCGACAACCTGATGAATGCAGTAGGAAGAGTCTCAATAAAGAAGTTTTGGATTTAGACAAAGTCCGTTGAATTTAGGACTTTGAAACAATGCATTATCTTATAATCGGCCCAGTGCTTTACAGGTGGCCAAAATAAAACATGCAGTTGAAGTGCTCATGTCTTCTCAAAAATGGAAGCAAATATAATGCACTGTAACTGTTCTGAAATCACTCCCTGCATAGGTACTTTTCCTCATAGTTTGTCTTAAATCAGGAAAAGTGACTTCCCCCTCCCTCCCTCCAAAAACCAAAAAAAAATAGCTTAATGTGGAAAACTAGTCTGGAGTAACTTAATCTGCAAAACTGCATCAGTGAAGTTCAGCAGTCTTGAAATGGGAGTATCATGTAAATATGTCCATGTAGGGAGTGATTTCAGAATACCTACAGCATTTGCATTCACATCACAGCTTATTTCAGAATAATTTCTTATAGGTAGGCAAGCTCTTTAAAATAAAATTTCAATATTTATCTATACCAGCAAGCTATTATGAAATACGCTGGGGTAAGAATCTGAAAATGTCATGTCTGCACTGGCAGTCTGCGCCAACACGCAGACGTGTATGCTGCCAGAATTTTTAAAGAAAGCTGAATCATGAACTGCGGAGGTAACTGGCTCTAATATCTGAAGGGATTTAGGTCGTGCCTAAACAGTTGGACATAGGAATGCCTCCCAGCTCCCTCAGCCGATTTCACACTGCAGCTGGTTCGCTGTGGCTTACTGGGACATGACACAGATTCACATCATCCTTGTCCATAGGTCCAGCCACCTTGTGATTTTCCCTGGCTGTGCAAGCAGAATGCAGTCTGAATTATCAGGGGACAAGGACAGCCAGCCACATTGTACAATTCACAAAGGTTTAAGTGCAGCCAGAGTGACCAGAAACAAATAGTTCAATTAGTCATGTGCTTTATTTAATATATCAAATCTATCTTAATGTATGTTATGCTTTAATTTAAAAAAAAAAAACAACAGCATATTTAAACTGTTTCATTAGATTATAAAAACAAAACAAAAACAAATCTTAATCTGTATTTCCAATTTCTACCCAAAATCATCTTGAGACAAAGGAATAAAACTAATCTAATAAACAAAACGAAAATAATTCTCTATTTTCTAATATAAAATACAAAAATTGAGATAGCTTAGTCAGATGCATGTCAACTATAAAACTATTTAAATACAAACATGGTCAGTCCTGGTAGCTCACAGTAGATCAAATGCGTAGTTGTTAAGCATCAATGTGTTGACTTGCAGACAGTGAAAAATCATGTTTCCTTAAGAATGCAACCAGAAAGTAGAATCTACCCTGACTGAGCAAGTCTGCACAAAGCTACTTGTATGTTTATACAACCTAAATGACTGGTACCCAGGTCTGGCTACATGGTTGAAATATTCCTATTCCCAAAGCAAAGACCCACCCGCCTCTCAGCTTCTGCATTTCCTGCATGTCCAACAGCAATATCACAGGTTTCCTTGTGCTTAGATGCTGTAGGATTCTTTCCCAGCAAGTCATAGCTGTTGTAGTATAACTTGTGGGAATACTTTGGGGACCTCAAGGAGATTGTGGTTAGGTCAACGAAGGACTACACTATTTAAGCGAGGCTGATTATGCACTGCAAGGTGAGCAGAGTTGCAGCCCAAGCTAAAACCTAGCTTTGGCTTTAACCATGCCCCTAGTCATGAAAGCAAGTAAACAGAGGTGCAAGTGAAGAATAAGCATCTGCGCAGGAGCTACTGCAAAATAGAAAAGCCCCTTAAACTTTTTGATCAGAAGGCATGCAGTAGGGAATTTCCATGCTTTGGAGGGACTGGCAATGAAATTCTTACTTTCTAGCATTTGCAACCCAGCTGCCCTAGTTTCGTATATTAATTTTCTTAGCCGATATAATGATACTTATACCTGTAGTTTGCCAAACCTGTTCTGTACGGAGTGACCTTGAGAAAAGTACCTTTTATTTTAAAAAGCTCTGACTTACCATGTCCCCTCATGTGATCTCGTAGCAGCCTTTCATTGGCAAAATGTTTCTGACAGTTCTGGCAAACAAATATTTGTTCTGAATTTAAAAAGAAACTATTTAGTGGCAATACAAATAACTTCTGAAAGATTTATTAGTTAATAACCTACAGCTGCCAGTTTCATGAATAAACTAACACAGCATTGAGACAGTTTCAGTATTCTGTTTCATTACCAATACTCTTCAGAAGAAAATTTAGTTTAGGCTTAATGAAAAGGATTGCTTATCAGTAAGTCAATTTTATCCTAAACAGAATAACAATCTGTTCAAAACACTAACAGTTTGAAATTTGAGCTCTTCTATCAATTACCTAGAACCAACCTACTTTCCATCACCGAAACATCCACAATTCCTAAATATATTCCAAACACTTAAAACCAGAAAAAACAGCCACCTCTCCCTTCACCTTTAGCATGCAGGAAAGCATGCCAACTGATAAACAGTTGGTTAAGGTAGGGAGTGTTCTGGTGAAGAAAATACTTACTGGAAAAGTAAAGCCGAAGAGAAAAAAAATTGCCTTTTGACCAGAAAGTAGTTAAATGCTCATTGGGATTACTTGCAGAGATTTCTGTAATCCAAGCCTGGCTCTTGTGGAGGTTCTCTCTTCAATAATCAAAAGTCTTTCCAATTCACGGGCAGCTTCCCAGTGTCGGTGGAATGTCACGCTGTGCCATGGGCACCAAGGGAAGAGAGGCAGTGTGATGCCACAGCTGGCAAGTGAATAGCTTTTCTGCTGAAACACAGATCTAAGGGTGTTCTGTTGCTCACTTTCATTACCCTAATTCATCAGACATGCAAAGTCAAGAGAACTTCTGTGCTTTATGAAAACAACTGCCTTCCTGGAGTAAACCCTGCTTTCATGCAATTGACTTATATGAAAAATAGAAATATTTATGAAATGACACATGCACAATATCACAAAGCACCTTAAACTCTCTTTGAAATATAAACAGAAATAAGAGCATATCCACTTACTGTCTTCTGAAACTTGTCTCTTTGCATGATCAAAAAACTTAGTGTTACTGGAGAACATTCGTCCACAAGTAGGACATGCTACAACTCTTTCTTGCGTGTGGGTTCTTAAATGATCCCATAGCTTATGTTTTCCTTTAAATACGCCTAAACAATCTAAACCAAACAAACAGAAAAAAAGCGGCACATGAACACTGTACTCTTTCTTATGTAGAAACAGAAAAGGCTATTACATACTTACGTCTTACTGTTGTATTTTTAGAAACGCACAAAAAAGCTTCTTCCAGGAAAAAAAAAAATCAGACTGGTACTATTACAAACATCACATGACATTTAACCCTGCAAATATTCACGCCAGATTATTTGTGAGTAATCAGAATTCTTTGAAACATGTTGGCCATGTGTGTCTCTTACAAAACATTCAGTTTTGAATCAGCAGAGAGCATGCTGCTAAACTTTCCACCCTCATGTGTCAAAGTTTTTGACTCCACGTGTATGCTCATACAGTAGAATAGAGATAACATTCATTACTATTTTTGTTGCCTGTCCCCCCTCCCCATCACAGAACTCCAGCAATCTTCATGGTCTCTGAAGAACCAGGAGAACAAGATGGGGTAGTGAATACATGTCAACAGTACATCTCCAAGAACTCTGCTTGCTGACCTTTATTTTTTAAAATATATTCACATTTTCTATCTTTACATACACATTCATATAGCGGTTAACCACAAGCAATCAGCTATCCACCAAACAATCTTTGCATATAAATAGCTATGTCCTCAGATCTCTTGAGCTCTGGCACCGTGGACACAGTGCAAGTTTTAACAGCACAAGTAGAAAGCTCTGGCTCTTGACATGTGACAAATAAGGGGAAAATCCCTAGTAGAGGTTATTGTATTGGTGTAAATGGAGCTAAAGAACTACTTTCAGGAGAAAACTTCATACAGTTGTGAAGGAATAGCCTACTCTCTTCACATACCTAAAAAATAACAGCTATGCAGAAAGCCACCTTTTTTAGAAAGGTGAAATAATAGCCTGGACTCAATCAAAGACTCTTAAGAATCAAGAGGACTACATTCAAATTCAAGAGTAGGGAAAGGTAAAATACTCTTTAGTGGATGAGGCATGATAAAAGTAATCAAGTGAATCAAACTCAGTGATAGGTTGGATACTGTTAGGTCTCAGAAATTAACACCTAAAATTCATTTAACAAAAAGGATTCGCCTAGTTCATTTAACCAAGTAGGTGCACTGTGAGTTCCATTTCTAGTATTCATTGGGACATTCTCTCAAGTAGAACAAGAATGTAATAGCCTTGATAACAACCCACATCCACTCCAATGAGTAGAATATAGGCAGCTTCCTGGAAAGAAGTTCTGAGCTCCAGATTAACATACTTAGTAAAGGGACAGAACTCTAGAGTCCTTATTAAAAGACAAAGGAAACCCTAAAACCTCACCTTGCCTACGAGGCAACAGGATCATCAGTGCCTCTTTCACCTCTACCATGTACAGGATACTTCTGATCAGGAGGGGGCTCCTGTGTCTGGCTCAGAAGCCGGAGGACTGATTATTCTCCTAGTGCAACCTGAAGATTTGTGTCCCTATTTAACCTCAGATTCAAAATGTGATATACAGGACATCAGACTGAATCTCTGTCTTGCATCCTTCCTTTGTGAACTCTGCCAGGGCACTGAGTATACCAACAGCCTCCGGTTGCGCTGGCCAGCCTGTAGCTATCTTTCTCTAATCCTCCTCTGCAGCCAATTCCACCCCACACATCCAAGAGTTTAGTTGCCTGTGTTTGAGGTCTGCTCTAATATGGTGATGCTGTTCAAGCTTCAATCACATTTCCATGAAAACTGCTAAGTTGTGAGAAAGAGAAGTGAGAAGCCTCATCCGGGGTCTCCACCCACACACACCCTGTGCTCTCTGGCTTGGGAGCTGCAGTTACTCACCCCTTGCCCCTCACTGGCCCTACCTCTGACTTGTTCTGTAGACTTCCTGGCCTGACCTCAGACCTGTCTTGTCACAGTGGTCTTGGCTGGTGGTCACTGGGCTGTGACTGACCCTGGCTGGCACCACCAGACCTGCTTTGTTCTTCTTGTTCAGGTTCTGTGAGACTGCACCCTGTCAGCGAGGTCCCTGTCTGCCTAACCGTCACCCGTAAGTCCTAGTTTGCCTTCCCCTGCCAAGCAACCTGCTCTTGCTGTACCTTCACAAATTCAAACCAACTCAGACCACCAACCAGAGTCCCTGGCAAAGACTGATCACTTTCTACCTGTTGTCCCAGTTCCATGACAAGTGCTTCCTCACAGAGATGAGTCCTCACTAGCCTGTCCTGGCTCGTTAAGTTTGGGGGTGTCAATGAAAAGTTGTCTTTCGCTGCCTGGACGTTCTGATTCTGTACATCACTTTCAATGCATAGCATCACCCTGAATGTCAAGATCAGACTACAACAGACCCTGTAAAACCCAGGACCTACTCTTTTGTTCCGAGGCAGGATCAATTACACCTTGGTCTCAAAATAGGTTCAGTTCCCCAGTGATAGACAACCTCCATCATTTCAACAGGCAACTGCTACCGTATTTTAAAATACCCTATTAAATTGGCTCTCCTAACTTATAACTTGCACCTCTTGTTAAAACTGATGCTCATTACTTCTCGTCCTCTCTAGCACAGACAGGGAGAACAGATGATTTCACTGTTCATAACAGCAGGGCATTTCTTAATATTTGAAGACATACCATATTCCTTTTCTTCCAGACTTCCCTTTTCCCCATTCTGTTTAGGCTATACAGTCCGAGTCCCTTCACCTGCCCTAATGGGCCTTATTTTCTAAAGCTATGATCATGCTAATGTGTGATTTTTGTTCCTCTAAGGACTATAGGTTTTACACTATTAGGGCACTGGAGTGAGTTCCCTCGCCAATAAAATCTGTCAGCTAGTCTCAAGAGGGAAAAGGAACAAAATGATGTCACCTTGCATCTGCTGATAGGATTTTGTCATCATTGCAGTGAATAGCTAACCCAAAAAGCAACTTTAACCCATAAATTGAAGACACACATATCTGGGGGGTTCACCAAGACGATTCCAATCAAACCTGGACTTTGTTGACACATTTTACAAGACATAGCCAAATTGATTGGTTTAAAGCAAGCACAGAATGATCTGCTCCAGCATCAAAGTCCCACAAATTGTCTCATCATTCCTCGGCAGAAAGTCTTTTCTTCTGGAGAGGTTCTGCTCATACACTTTGTAGGTCTGAAGCAGAATGGTATGCACATCAAATGGCAGCCCATAGTTTAGCCCTTACTCAAACAATCAAGGCATCTGCTATGAAAGACTGTCAATGGAATGTGGCTTCTACAATACAGCCAAGGGCAGAACACCAGCTTTGAAGCCATGACAATAATTTTAACACAAGAGGCAGCTAGCAATATAGAGAATGCATTAAAAATGCTCTTTCTCACCAGAGAGTTGAGAAAAACTAGGACGGCAATAGGTGTGCTTCCCTTGAATTGAAGGGAACACATGAGGGAAAGCAAAGAGTAAGCTCACCATGAAATAATATTGTGAGGGAGACAACCCTGATCCTGAGTGGTGGAACACAAGTGAAAAGGCTGTTTGAATGGTATATGAACTATCAACCACAGGCAGAACTATGAGGAAACCCAACCCTGTTCAGTACAGGCAATTCTCAACTTAGACTAATTGGGAGTTGAGGACATTCGACCCCATGGATGATAGGAACTATTCTACTTAAAGCATGATGCCTACAAAATAGAAATGTTTCTGCAACTAATTAAGATTGATTAAAAAATATCTGAAGATCTCTCACAAATTCCTATGCAATATGTAGCACTAAGTGAATTTTATAAGAAACACTGCAGTGAACTACTTTTTGAAATAGATTTTTTTTTATATGCACTACCTTTCCAGTGACAATAAACAGCTTTCTTCTGATCTGTAACAGTTTCTTCCTCAGTAGCATAGGCATGAATAGCAACATGTTGATAAAACCACACTGGGTTATTGAAGGTAACCTAGAAACAAAATAGAAGCACGGAGAAGACAAGATAGTTTTAGCAGGATATCAACTGACAGGAACAGAGAATTAAGTGTTTTTAGAAACCAGACACCAGTAAATATTGCAGTAACATTTAATTAACTCACCACGACACAGAGCCAATTACATCAGCTACAAAAATTTAGAACATTCTGCAGTATCCACCACACAAACCAGGTCCTGAATTTTCACCTACCATCTAGTAGTTGAAAAGTCTGTCTAGACTACTTGAGTGAATGCTACTCATTCTTTGGGGCAGGGATGTGTCTGTTAATGTATTTCTGTTGATTTATTTCTTTGGTATATTTTTACCTTCTCCCCTCCCTTCACTTCTACCTGCTCCTACTCATGAAAAGGCTATGAGGGCAGCACAGGTAATTCCAACAGAAATGGGAAGGCTGCACAATGATTAAACTGAATTAGGTGTTACGGACACAGCACTCCACGACTCAGTACTTATGTGACAAGGGGGAACTAAACCTTAATTAGCCTCTGCCTCACTCCACAAAAATCCACACCTGCAGAGAGAAAGTAAAGGGTGTCATTCAAACGCATACTGTCATCAGTTGCAATTCAAAGTATCCCTCTCACCTCCCAATTATTTAACCCCTTAACCTCTCTGCTGTGCTGGTACAATTCTGTAAGGCTACACATTGAATTGAGGCAAGGAATTGATCTGGCTTTCAACCAAATCAAAACACCGAGGAGAGGAAACGGGAAACAGCTGAAACTCCTTAGGTTGATATTGCCATTGTCAATAACGCACAGTTGATTAAAAAAAACCCAACAACGATGTTTAAATTTGAAAGAAACATATAAATGAAAATACCTATTTATTTAGTATTACCTGTTTTTAATCATTCTAATCTTAGTAGACTGTATTAAACTAAGCTGCTAGGTATTCTGTGTGCAGAGCAGAGCATTCACAGGAGGAGTTAACGCAGGCAAACTTCTGCATTTTAAATTTATACTCCAATGTTTTTCACAATAGCTCCCTCAGGGAGACAAGCCCTTATTTCCTCTGAAGGGCTTGAAACATGATCTGAGAAATCCAGAGTCTTGTGTACATAAAAACATATAGGCATATTAAGGTGAATCAACTAAAAGTATTGAGCTAGACAGTGGTCAAAACCTCTTCACTTCTTAATCAGCATAACCATATGGAGGTTAAATCCGTTTTAATTTGTCGGCACCATCTCCAAGTGTTGCCGGAACTTTCTTGAGTATTTCTTTACATGTAAATAGGAGAGGGGAGAAGTTTTTGGGGCTGTGCCTGAGTCAGAAGCTTTACCTTTGGGGAAACCAAATCTGACACAGTAGGAGGCACCACAAGTGTCGGGGGAAGCTGTATGGGTGATTTTCAAAGAGAATTATATTCATAACTGTGGGAACATATTTGCAGGAGGGTGGGAAAGGTAAGCAGTTTTCCCTGCCCTCAAAGTTCTCCTCTTTCGCAGTGTGCCCTACCCCACCTCCTGGGTCTAGTCTAGCCTGCCTACTAAGTTGGGAAACATTCTTTCAATTAATAAAATTCACAACATAGTTTGAACTTGAAAAAACATGTATAAAAAGACTTGGCGAAATGCTATGGACTAAAGGATTCCATCAGGCAAAACTGCCCACTTACATAAATGAAAAATGGAACATGAAATCAATTAACGGGACGATTTTTCTTCTAGTTTTTAAGCATGTTTTTCAAAAGACTGTGGTTACTGACAGATGCAGCAAAATCAAATTCTGAGGGCTTTGAAGTTTTTCCGAATCTCTTCATTTTTAAAATAAATATACCAATCATGGCAGTATACGAGTAGAGACTGATTGGTATGTATTAAAAACATGTTAATAACAATAATAATAACAATTCCTATAAACTATGAGACAGAATGGTAATAAGATTTGTCTGTAACAATAGTTTGTAATCAAACTATGCAAACAATTCAAAAGTTATCATAAATACTGCTCTGTATTACATGCTTAGGCTTATAGTTTTAAAAAGAGAATGGGGTACTTCCATGCGTAATCCACCAGTAAATAAAAGCCTTTATTTACAGAGATAGAGTTTCTCACAGACTGACCTAACAACAGAATTACCTCTCTCTAGAAACTTCACTCTCAGATTTTTATGCCATTCCTTATTTCATGTAAAGGAGAATTTATGAAAAGAGAGGTATCGAAGCATTATGTGAGTATAGATATTCTAAGTTCAGAGCCAAAAGAGCTAAATGGATACTTCTAGACAGTCTGTCCTGTAATAACATACAGATGAGGAAGCACTCACCTTTTATATATGCTATGGCACAAACAATCTGTAAGCTGAAATGTTAAAGAGGAAACTGGAAATAACTTTAGACCTAGCAAGGAGAAGGTTAGCAAAGCAAGGCATGGACTATAACCACCATCAGAAAACAGAAGTAATTTCACTCCGTCATCGCAGTGTATTTACTCAAACATCACACTGATTCTAATTCAACAATGTGAAGCATGTGAGGGATACCATATCTATGTAAAGCACTACCAGTCTGACATTCCCTTGCATGGAAATATTTTCATCCTCATTACTGTTTGTTTATAACCTCAAAAAGCATAGTTTATGTCATTAATTTTATCACAACTTTGATATGAAAAAGTCATAGATAACAGAGAAATAGGATTTAAGGATGATAATCCATGAATCGTTGAAAGGCCTAGAGAGATATAAGGAAAAAAGGATCAAAGGCCTTTGAAAAACATTAAAGTTTTTGTTTCGGTTTGTAGTTCAACATTACTAAACCTACATCAGATTTGCTCACATGAGGTTTGCAAAATTGTTCAGTTTTACAGTTTTTCTGATTTCCACAGTATAACTCCTTTCAGTTGTTTCTTCTTCACCAATATTTCCTTTCCAGTTATATCACAACTCAAATGAAACAAAAAACCTCATACAACATGAAAAATTAATGTAGACTAGACAGTCAATTTTCCTGCGCTACTGCTTTCTCTAAAAACTATCTTGCTCAACAGTTACACAAAAGGAGATAGTACGAAAATGTCATCTGCCAGGCATCACGCTTGTGGATGCAAATATAATGCTCACTAGCCATATATAACAGCTGAGGTTCTGAGGCCAACAGCGACAGAGAAAGTGCTTCCCTATAATATCATATCAATATGAAGTCATTTTTGATCAGGAATGAACACCTTCAAGCAGCAGAAAAATAATTATATAGGCAGCACTATTTATGTGAACACTGTCAAAAAAAATAGCAACTGCTAATCATCTTGGTTTACTTGATACAGAAATAGCACTGTCCAAACAGAATGGATTCTATTTAATACAGGACACCAAAAAGCGGTCAAGATACAAACCATTTTTAGTTGAAACCAATCTTGGCCACATTTGAACATCAGACACATGAACAGCCTCTTGCAAATGTCTGGTTTGTGTGTCAGTTAAAACAAAACAAACAAACAAACCAACCAACCCATTTTCAACTGACCAAGGAAACATCAGATATTCTGTTGCCCTTCTTCAGACAAATAAGCAGCATTCTGGACCTGTTGACAAACTACCAAGTTCATTAATTTATCATTAAACTGGGTATATTAAAGTTTTGCATATGTACTGTTAAAACACAAGAGAAGTTGCATCTTTGACAAAAAGATCATTTTAGTCACCACAAAGAGAAAGAAAATTTAAATTTGAGGTCGCAGATGTCATGCAAATATGTTGCCTGCATTTTCATGAAGGCTACCATAATAATTATCATGTATGACATACAGGGATAGTGGGAAACATTGTTCAGAGGTAAGATTGAGCAAAAATTCCCAATAGTGAGTCAAATCCAATGAATGCGAAAGTAAAGTCAGGAAAGGAAAAAAAAAAAGGCAACATCTCAACGTATTTCACTTACATCACAATTCTCCCAATGGCAAACAAACTCCTCCGAAGTCTTTGGTAACCGATGCCAGCTACAGCTGTCCTGCAAACACGCTGGCAAATTGTGGTGCAACGCCCGTAACTGCGAGCCTATGAATTTCAGTTTGGTGTGGTAACTGTGAAAATTGACGTGGGTTATCAGCTCTCTGGCATCTTTCGCCCCAAATTCACAACTTCTCCACCAACACCGGTACTGCTCTAAACACAAGAAAGAAGTAACATTTTACAGAACACTGCGTGAAATCTGCAACCCTGTGCCACAACAGTGAGAATGCCAATAGCACTTACACTTGTAGTAACTTCACAATCCGTAACTAACCTTAGCAGAGAAGCTGGTAATTGCTATCTACTGATAATGCACTAGATAAAACTTGCAAATCTGAGGCAAACAGATTTTCCACTGTCTCACAACTGCAGCAATACTGGAGTGCTTTGTACTTTAAATCGCAACTTTTTGCAGAAAGGCATTTCATAGATTGAATATGAAAATTCTGTAAAAATAAGTATTTTCTTAGGTGTATACTATGACACTCTTCAGCTTAGGTCACAGAGACATTGTTAATGTTGGTTGAATTCTACTTTTTTCACCTTTAATTAAGACTCATTCACCTTTAATTAAAATGTCTACACCTGTAATTACACTTGATTACAGTGTTAAGAATAAAGAGCAGGATACACAAGAGCCAAAATAGCTATATTAAAAAGCCTAGTATGTTATTGCGATTACATCCACAGAGACTGCCTATAATTTTCTGCAGAATCAGATTTTTTTGTTTTCCTTTTAAGTACATTTAATACTATTAAAAAGATGTAAAATACAATACCCATCATAAAATAGCACCAGTGTATGTATCCAAATAAGGCAAATACCATACAAACAATAGAAGTTTCCATTTTTCTATAAAGATTCATACAAATGCTACTTTAAACTCAGAATTCTTAAGCAGCAGGCCAGTTCCCTGAAAGGGAAGAACTCTGCCATTCAAAAACAATTTGCTAAAATCTGTTTTAGACAATTGCACCTGCTGAGGCCCTAATCTTAGGAAAAAATCCTCAGCAGAAATTCTCATGACATCACCTCTCCAGTCTCTTTCCATATTAGTAATAGCTATCAATACAAACAAAAATCCAGGACAATCAGATATGAGGCAAAAAGCAGGTATAAGCCCTTGTCTAAGGGCTTCATGCAGCTGGGCCTTAGAAAAGCTAAGGTGCAGGTAAAGTCAGTATTATTTTCTAGGCAAGAATAATCTTCTAAACTGCAGTGTAATCTGTGTGAGAGATGAGACATAAATGACCTGCTGTTTCCAGGGGGTGTTGTAGGTACTCTTCCAAGTGTTCCGCAATATGATTACAAA